AATTGAGCTAACACCTGCGTGTAGAGTAAATGTAAGAACGAGATTGCGTCCCTCTTTATTTTAGACTTTCCTTGATGATTTTCTGCGAATGTGTTTCGGAATTTTTTTTATTGTCATTGTTAATCAATTAATTGTGTGTTTATTTGAATCCATGGTACGACCCAGATACGAGTCTCATTTTCAGATTTTTATTTTCCTGTCCAAAATTTATTTACGGCGTTAATCAACATTTTTACTAATTAATTCTTTGGAATTTACCTCGGAATTTACGTAAGTCGATTAACACAACCGAGTCTTTCAAATTATCAGCAAAGTTGTAAGTTTCAAATTTGATTTGAACTTGTTGGGCAGGTGTTTGGTGGGTGGTGTAGTGCACACAGCATTATTTATCTGGCACCCCACGTGGGGCTACAGCAACATGTATCCACAAACTTAACTAACGACACAAAGTCCATTCTTCTATCTATGAATTTTTCAACTTTTTTGCTTTTATTAGAGGGACCTACCATCCAATTTTCGTTAAAATTGCTCCATAAATAAGAAAGTTGGATGTTGCACATGCGCAACTCGATTTTTTGCGCATGCATTTTGTTTTCTTTTATTAGGAGGACCTACCATCCAAATTTCGTTTTAATTGTTCCATAAATAAGAAAATTGCATTTCTGCGCATGCGCAACACGATTTTTGCGCATGAATTTGTTTGCTTTTATTAAAGGGACTTACCATAGAAATTTCGTTTAAATTGCTTCAGAAACAAGATCGTTGCGTTTTGCACATATGCAACACAATTTTTTGACTTTGACAATTTTTTTCTCCGTTTTTTGATAATATAACCCGGCCCAATTTTTTGTAGGTTGTACACAGAAAAATAAGGTCTTCCAAATAATAGAATAAAAATTTTAGGTTGTTATTTGAAAAAAAAAGTTCGATGCCGTTACGGCGCTCCAAAATTTTTTTTCAAAAATCCGGCCAGTTATTTTTCTGTTCGGTATGCCTAAAACATATATACAAAATTTCAACAAAATCCGTCGAGCCGTTTTCTCAGAAAATTGCCAACACGTACGTAAACGTACGTACGTACGTACATACAGACGGAAAAAAATTTTATTCTTTAAAAGTTGCTTAAAATGGTCTAAAACGTCGACATTTGATGAAATTTTGAAATGTTCAAAAAACGGCTATCGCAATAGCTACCTAGCACATGCTAGGAAGCTAAAAACGCTTACTTTGGTAGTTTTCATGTTTATTGTAAGCCAGAGAAAGATTTTCGGGTAGTTATGAAAATCACTTTCGAAAGATACGCGAACGATAGAAGACATAATAAGGAAAACGACTCATTTTTCAGAAAAACGTATTTCCTTGGAATTTAGGTTATGGTTTCAATTTTTAAAAAATGTGCAACAAAAGATATTTGAGAAGTAATTTCTCCTCTCCCATAATTATTCTTAGAAACGGTGCTGGTATAAGGGGTGGGAGATAAAAGCAGGTATCTCAAAATCATTTCTTCTCTCCTAATACAAATAAATATATAAAGGTCTTGAAATCAAGAATGTATAATATGATCAAACAATTAAATACAAATAATTTCTTTTGGGAAAATAAATACTACATATTAGGAGAGTATGTGGTTGACATCAGCAGAAAACGAGATAAAAGAAGGTAAGTGAAAATCAATTCTACTTTCCTAATCCAAACAGTATGGGTATTTTCTCCTCTGCTAAAATAAAAAAATTTTAAAAGAGGTGCTGGGATAAGAAGATATGAGAACGCTTTCCTAATGCAAATAATCCTTTTGGGAACATTACTATCAGCAATGTCTCATGTCCTGGTGCAGTTAATTACCTACTTATATTTAGAGAATATACTGACCGCAGGAATCCATCCCGATATAGTTTTTATACAGGGCGTTCGATTTTTATTCGACCCTGAACTACATTTTTTCATACAGACCACCCTATATATTGAAAAGAGCGTAAATTTCCTAAATTTTCATGTACCACATTTAAATTTCTCCGTTATCTGTACTATTTATATTATATTATTTATTTTATTTACAGCAAGGGGCGAGCCGCTGCCCCCTCAAGAGATTGAAATTTTTAGCGCATTTTTGCAAAAAATTTTTTTTGTAAAAAGTAGCTTTTAATCTCACTTTGGCTGGCTGGCTGGCTGGCTGGCTGGCAGGCAGCAAATGTGGGCGCGTAGAAGAACTCTTGTAGAAAGGCAACGGGTGTACGTGTATCTACAGGGCCGTGAAATTTGTCAACCTTAGGGACATGGCTACATGATGTGGGGTTGGCGACATCTGGGCGTCATCCTCGAGCGTAGTAAACTAACGTGAAGGTTTTTCAGTTTTTTCCTATCTTCTACTACAGTTTTGGTCCGATTCTTTTGAAATTGGTGTCGTCGGAAAGATGTTGTAAACGCGCACAACTCCTGCGTGGCGGAATTTTGTTTTTTGTCATAGGGGCGAAATTAACGACCTTTTGCGAGGCGGCGCGCGCGTCTTTGAGAAGTAGTCAGGCGCCTTTTACCTTCCGTTGCGAACTCACGCGGTTTAACGTTTCGTGAATCTCGAATCGCTGTCTCTCTTTCTTGTGTCGCCAATAGAAGTGAATTGCGAGTGAACGGGACGACGGAAGTGGGTACCTACCGTAAAAGAGAATGTGGTAGCCCGCGACACGATCTCACTGATGGTGGAGTCAAATCTTCAAACGCGAATTGCGAGTGAACGGGACGTCGGAAGGGGGTACCGTCAACGGGAATGTGGTAGCCCCCAAAACGATCTTCCTGATGGTGGAGTCAAATCTTCAAACGCGAATTGCGGGTGAACGGGACGTCGGAAGTGGGTACCGTAAAAGGGAATGTGGTAGCCAGCGACACGATCTCACTGATGGTGGAGTCAAATCTTCAAAAAGCGAATTGCGGGTGAACGGGACGTCGGAAGGGGGTACCGTCAAAGGAAATGTGGTAGCCCCCGACACGATCTTCCTGATGGTGGAGTCAAATCTTTCAACGCGAATTGCGGGTGAACGGAACGTTGGAAGTGGGTACCGTCAAAGGGAACGTGGCCCCCGACACGATCTTACTGATGGTGGAGTAAAATCTTTAAAAGCGAATTGCGGGTGCACGAGGAAAGTGGGAAGCGGTTAGTGAATGTAGTAGCCTTCGACAAGATCTGTTTTTGATGGTTGAATCGAAAGTGGCTAATAGAATACTGATCTGCCACACAAAAATGCGCTGAAGTCCCTTCGATCTCAAACGAGGACTTTGATAATTTTTTTTTTTAAGAAGAGAAATTCTTTCACCTGCAACTTAATTTTGTAACATTTCCAGGGAAGAACCCCCCGACACACATAAGTGAAACTTGAAAACTTGCACTGTGGTGGTAGGTGAAGAAGTGTATAGGTCGATTTGCCGCCCCTTCACATTTTATTTTGGGTGGAAGGATTGGGGACAAGGATCTGATTCATGACGGGACAGGAAATCTGTATAAACAGTTTAGAATTTCAAAATATTGTGGAATTTGTTCGGAAGCGAGATGCTTCCAAAATCGCAACGAGCACATCCAAAAAACCGACAACGTTCCATTGTATTTCTGTACATGGCCGTTGAGAAAAAATTATAGTTACCTGTGAAAACAACATGTTCCTTTTAATAATAAAAAAAAATGGCGCGCGTCAACTAAATACTAATTAATTAAGATATTTCCAAGATATTATGGATAGATGAACCCATTTCTAATAAAAATGGTGGTCGGACAATGACACAGTTCCACGAATAGCAGTCTCCGTCCTCCGAAGTATGATTCACATCCATACGCTCCATACGGCACTGACTGTTCAGCAGCGTAGTTTTAAAAAGTTTACGTCAGCGGCGTAATTATACGGGTAAATTTGGGGCGCATGGATTTACAATCGCGACATCTAGTAGGTAGCGAAAGAAAAAATAGAATTAAAGCCGACATTTTACTCCTACTGCAGTTATAAAAACGTAAATCTTAGCGTCATTTATTCAACCTTGAGATATAATTACATATGCAAGCACTTTTAAATGCAAATTAGGAACATACATAACACAAATTGTATTCGCTCATTTATACCGGCTAATTACCGAAAAAAATTCAGTCGACGTAATGGGACATCGAACGTAAAAATGCGAAAAGATAAAGAAGAAATTAAAAGACCATGACCGAGTCGTTTAGTATGACCATTGACCGAAGACCAACCACTACATTTACAAGTGGTATCGTGGGGTCTGATGTGTAAAAACGCCATAAGCGGAGCACGAGCGCAAAACAAGAAGCTCGTCAACGAACAGGTTACTAACAGAGTGGAATGGAAGTGGAGGGCTTGACTCGAGCTCGACTACTACTACCAAAGAGCATCGATCGCAAACACTTGTTGCGTCCGTTTCCCACCAATAATGGCGGAATTCCTCGGATACGTTTGCGGCGAGCTCTCTCAATCGACGATCTGAACACGTTTAAATATTTACATACTAACGAGAGCCCGCGACATTAATTGATTAATTGTCGCCAATTAGAAAAACGCGAATTAGTCATACTTCCAACTCGCGACTTTTATTTTTAAATCTGCCGAGATATAAATCTCGGTGAGCCGTGAAAAGTAAATAATGTTTAAAAGTGCGCCGCTAGATTTCGCCGTCGAGTGACTATTATTATTTAAATCCGGACAAATATGGCGATATTGCAGAAGCGAAGGACGTGTCGAAACTTTATTAGCATTTTTTATGCCTCACCGTGTGATTTAGTGGAAATTTTTAGTTGCCCGTCAAAACTGAGGAACACTCAAAACAGACCAGCTGACGCCATCTAGATTTCTTCAAACGTCATTTCAGGGGTCAACTGAATGACACATAATATCAACATTATTTAATCTCCCTTCCACCGACAACAAAATACAATCAAATAATGTTAGTGGTTTAAACTTTAAAGGGCAAAATTTGGCCAGTTTGCAGGATAATAAATCAAATTTACTTACCCCCTCCAGAGAAACACCGGTTATCTGTCATCCCTCCAAGTTCTGTGGCGCCCCATCCGAACCTGTAATGGAAATGTTTAACCAATTATTTCATTTTATTGTTATCACACGTTTAATTTTACTGTTTGTGTAATTTTATGCCAAACAACATACTATGAAATTTTCGAGTAGCAATTTGAAATGCGACTTTTTTAAATTATGCGTCGTTCAGGTTCAGCCATTTGATATAATAATAGGGGATTAGCGGCCTTCAATTCTTATCTTGAATCTATTTTGCATACCTAAAACTGGTGAAAATTCAAACAAAGCTTTTGATTCCGTTTTGAAATTCGACACCCTATCCCGTGATTCGGTAATGGCACTTTCTGGAGTGGATTCATGGATAAGCCGAATAGGGTAGCAAAAACCAGAAGATTAACGGGCTGCCATTTTTAACCAGAACAATCTTAGTTTTGTTGGATGATAGTGATTTTTGTACCTGTTATTATAAGTATGACAAACTGCATATGTTTGAACTTCCAAGCCGTAAAGTGGAGGAAATAAGTCGCAAAATTTTAGTGGCTGCCGGCTGCGCAAACACATTTTATTTAATTTAATATTGGATATGCGCATGCGCGCTACTGCAAAAATTAAAAATTTTTTCGATGGAGCTTTGTTCGTAAAACGCATTAGAGGTTTTTTTTGTGATTTTTAGCGTATTTTCCTCAAAGTGAAAAATCGCTAATAGCTGCACTTTTTCGTCAGTCAGTCCGTCCGTCCGTCGTCACAGATACTAACCTCTACACGACTGAACCGATTTGAGTGATGGATGATACGGCCGATATGGGTCTCATTTGAAAGGGCTTAGTGAAAGGATCCCGTGTGTACTTATAGTATTTTAGTTTTGCGAATGTGCAAAGCTAACTTCTTTATTTATGAAGATGTTTAAATGAAACTATATGTTTTCAACGTTTTCAAAATATTGTTTTGTGTATACGCAATGTCAACGTTCTTATCTACGAAAGCATTTGATACATAGATACTTGGAATAAAACTAACTCTAACACCAATTTCAAAATTTGCATTTGCAATGTGGTATTTTTCCCGACCCTAGCATTAATATTATAGGAAAAATACGCTCTCGCTATTTATGTTTGCATAAGTATAAGTAATGACTTTTTAACTTGTTTATGTTTGCTGTACATTATTTCAGTTCCCAATGATAACGTTTGAGAAATATGTTTAAACACTCCACGTGCGCGACCACAGCGAAGGTAGGCGTGGGCAAAAAGATCACAATAATAAAAATCGACAAAAAATAATATAAATCGAGAAGAGAATGTGCAATTCACTAAATTAGAACGGCCTTCGCATCTATCTGTGTACAAAAAAAAATTGCACCTCAACTACCTATCAGTTTCCATTATCTGCTGCAGGATAAAGGAATTCGACTCGCAGCACAGCGTAACCTCAATTTTATTTCTTGCATCCAAATCACACTGTAGCGAATATTCGAGAAATCCCGATAGACATCGGGATTCGGGGCGCCATGAAGGATTAGTACCTAATTGGCGATAAAGAAAGAAGACATATGATATGTGAGGCCATCTTTCTGGGAAATATGACGTGTTTTATTCTACAATGTTCGACAACATTCGAGAACTATATAAGCAAATCGAATTGCGTTTCGAACAGTTCCAATTTCAATGCCGAAATAATAAATTGTTTCGCGCTGGTATAAATTGTGTATATGCGAGTGGTAAATAATATTTTTACCGTTATAAATCAATTAATTTCAAAAGTGTTATAAACGAAGCGAGAAACGAAGTCATACATTTATTGTTAATTAATCTTAATACTATATGAAACAAAGTCGTGTATGTTACACAACTTATAACTAGAGAGCGACTGGACCGATCTTTATGATGTTTGATTTGTAGGATTCGTGAATTCATCTCCGACCCGAATCGGAGAATAACTAATAAAATATCGAAAAACAACACACAAAAAATAAAGAAAATTATTCTGAAAGTAAATAAGAGAACTAATGACAGCAACCGTCAAATCAACTGTTTTCAATCTTACCAACCGTCACATTTAAACTATCAAATTAAAAAGTGATAGGTTATACCGAGGGTTATTCATTCGCGATTTCAATCAACAGTAAATCGTGTATTGTGTAATAAAGACCAATAAACGCTTGCCGATTAAAAATACGCAATACTTCAAAAGAATTAAATTGCAATTTTGCAACAAAGTTTCAAGATGTCCTCAAAGGATTTAAAATGTGCAGTGTTTATACAAGTAACTAGTGTACCCGGCACGTAAGAAGGCGAAAGATCACGCATCCCCACTATATATACTTTATTAATTGCATCTATTAGTGCGCCACGGAGCCAGATCCTCTAAAAAGACTCTAAATCAGTCATCTGCGCATAGCCCGCTGTGGTCTTCTCACGTGCCGGTACCAATATACAGCAAAATTAAGCACTTAGGCATAAGTTAACGCACAATACATTCAGATATTTTAAAATGTGGACATTGCAATTCGTCGGGTCTGCTATTAAGTACATTAATAAAAATGAATAATTGTCTGTCTGTTTGTCTCTTATGCGTATCTAAACCGTTCATCCGATTGCGATGAAACTATGAAGAATGGTTGGACGTGTATAGCCGCAAAAGTTAGTAACCAATACTTTCGGAAATCTCACGGAAACGGGAACAAAAAAAACAGGATTTTATGTTTTACAGTGGGAAAGGGACTAACATTTAGAACGTAGGTTTCTTCGAAGGCGTGAAGGTGTACTCCGAAAGAACTACCCGAATTCCCACGGAACGGCGAAAAACAAGAACGGGGTACGGGAAACAACGGGATTTCCCAAAGGTGGTACGAAGATCGCCGGAACTACTAGTGGTAAATAAATAAATCCGGTGATTAAATTTACGTTACAATACGTGTAACTTTTCCCGATAAATAAACTGAATATAACGGAAAGATCCTCAATACTATCACAATTTTTAACGACCATTTATTTTAACCTTACAACTTCGATCCATATCAAATTCATGTCTTGGGAGATAATGCTCTTAGTTTTTTTCCCAACGATCTTGGTGCACGAATAACGATTTTAACCGAGAACAGTTTTTCCTGTTCCCGCTTCCTCAATAGCGGCCTACCTTAATATCCAAAGTACCCGTACACCAAATTTCAACACGATCGGCCACTAAAACAGTTTTAGCGCACACGGACAGACAAAAATTAAAAGTTATAAAAAGTATCTGGAGATCTCAACCAAGAGTTATAGCGAACACAGACGAATGGGCGGACAACCATACAAAACTATACGCTCCAGAACTGGGATTAGAACCCCCGGTGCTACGTTCCCCCTCAAAACCACCAAATTCTTCTTTTAGAGTAGAGTTAAGCAAGACGTTTAGAGAAGTCGGCTTCAAGGCTTTTTAAAGAGCATACTCTAACCCAGAGGCTTCTGGTGTTATGTTCGATGGTCCCTTTCCAAAAATTATGGCGCTGGAAGCAATAAATACTGACTACACCTAAATCGAATAGTCCTAGTTTGATGCCTTTTCTTCTTAAGTTTCTTAAAAGACAAGGAACAGTCTTGATAACCTCGATACTCCTTAATCAGAATGCTTCTTTCCAGGGAGGTCTAGTGATGGGAACATTCGCAGATATAGATGATTTCGACAAGAGAACGAAACTCCTTAGAAAGTGGATTATTTAGAGCAGTACATATCAACGTTCACAAAGAAACGTTAAAACCTCGATTAAAACGCACACTAGTGAGAGGATACCCTCACAGTGGAGGGCTGTCGCCACTTGTCAATAGTCAACCTTGTCGTCTTAACGGTAATGGCTACTGTGCTTGGGGTATGTATAACATAAAAATGGCGTGAAGAACACCGCTTTTCGATAAACCTGGGAAAAACTGGAGATTTGTCTTTTTCACAAATAGAAACAAGGTCAGGCATCTCTTCCAAAAACATCTCTAATTTTCCGAGTCTGTGATATATCTAAATATAACAGTTGACAACAAACTAAATTAGAGAAAACATAATCACGGGAATTCTCGAGAATTGCCAAATTCCTGCGAAGTCGGCATATCGCATTTCTCGTCGCATCCGCTTTCGCTGGTGACTAATTTTTTATGGCGCCTCGATGGCGGCTGCTGGCGCCCCGATGTCTGGTACCTATGTAGATGGTGCAAAGCTGCAAACATTATGTAAGTACGCCAAATAAATGTTTCGTCATTTTTTGCGTTTCTTATATATTTTTTAACACACAAGAATGAAATCACCCGATTTGGCAGATTTTCCAAAAGTCCCTACTGACGACCGACAGTCGCTTTCTGACGAGGCGAGCGAATATTTCGATGGCAAAATGCAAATAACAGTCGTGTAAACAATTAAACAGCTTCGTTGACATAAATAGTGTGTCCACCATTCCTCGACCAATTCTGGCCACTTTATTTCAGGTCCGAGGAAAAATTGGAAAAACGTACGAATTTTTTCGCACCCCCATTTAAGAAAGCGCAATTTTAGAATAGGAAGTTTAGAAATATGTTCACAAAAAACCTCACTAAAAACCCAAAAACCTAGGCAAAGTCGCAAGTTACATCATTCTATCTGATTGTTCTTGGGAAATAAATTAGAAGACACGTAAATTTTGAGATCCACGTGAAACAAGTTAGACATTGGGATTATTTACAAAAAATGCATTCAGCTTACCCATATTTTTAGCTGGATTTTTAGCCTCGTTTTTAGCGCAACCCATGAAAGGGAAGTCCCTGGACTTGAGATTGTTGCTATGTGAAAGTTTATGCGTTCTCGATGTGCAACTATCAAAAATTAACTTTGGTATTCATCACCATGTTGCCCAAAATCGTTATTTATGCATCAATTTTGTTGAAGAAAAGACTAAACTCTATTCTTCAATGTCCAAGAAGTGACCCATGTGTATTTTTGGTTAACAACATATTTTTGACCACACAATGTCAAAATCGTTATTTCTGTACCGATTTTCTTGGGAAAAAGACCTCGCATCTACCTCGGGTTTTCGCTACACGAAATCTTATGGGTTCCAGATGTGGAACTATCAGAAATTAGGTAACTTTAGCATAAATCACTTTATTGCCCAAAATCCGTCTAAATCCTTATTTATGCACCAATCTTCTTGGGAAAAAGACTACTCGATTTGCGCGATGACCAAAAAGTGTATTTTTGGACCAACATATTTTTTACGAAAACTTTCCAAAATCGTTATTCATGCATCAATTTTGTTGAGAAAAAACCAAACTCGATTGCTTGGTGCCCAAGAATTGATCTATATGAATTTGTTGCTGGCCAAAATATTTTTAACTACAACATGTCAAAATCTCTTTATGCACGCTCAGACTATAAACGTATCGACTTTAATTGTAGTTTGTCCGTCTACCTATGCAAGTGGGTTTCTGGAAATACTCACGTAGTAGTAGTTTTGTTAAATTGTTTGATATAATTGTTACACTCTGTATAGTTAACACATCGACTGCTGATACCGCGACATTCGGGGACCCATCCCGTTCTAACCCGCAATTCGCGTTTGAAGTTTTGACTCCACCATTAGTAAGATCATGGTGGCAACGACATTCCCTTTGTCGATACTCGCTTCCAACGTCCCCTTCACCCGCAATTCATGTTTAAAGTTTTGATTCCACCATCAATAAGATCTTGTCGGGGGGCTAGAAGAAGCTCTAAGAAACTTTTGTGTGCCCACAGTCGACTACTCCCCGAAGATTCGCGCCTTGCAAAAGGCGATTAATTTCATCCGTAATAGGAAACGGAAACAAAACGCAGGAGTTGCGCATTTATAAGATCTTTTCGACGACACCAATTTGAAAATCGGACCAAAACTGTAGAAAAATCACCACGTTAGTATAACACGCTCAGGGATGGCGCCCAGATGTCGCCGACCCCACATCACGTAGCCCCGTCCTTAAAGTTATTAATTACACGACTTCGGTAGGTACATGTGCACTCCTCGTCTTTCTACAAGCGTTCTTCTATGGGCTCGCATTTGCCGCCAGCCGGCCAACATGATATTAAGAGCTACCTTTTTCCAAATAAATTTGCAAAAATGCGATACAAAGCAATCTAATGCGAAATTGTACTATAAATAACTTTTATCCCTTGTGTTTTCTCCATGCATATTTTAAAAAATAACAAGGTGTCTTTGGAACAAATTAAGCCATTTTTTTAACTACAAGGTTATCATGAGGTATGCGATAGATCAAACCCGCTTCCCAATATTCCTACAGGCAAAAGTTTTTCACCCTGTACAATATATCTTTTCTCCAATCATGACAGAAAGTAGTTAAGAGCTTCCTCCCAACTATCACCACCTCGATCAACACCGAATCAACACAATACGTTTTGCCGTTTTCCCAACGAAATTCGTGACGAAGTTTTTTTACTAGCCATGTAACGAGAGATCATGAACAGACAATAGGTTTTGTTACGTACCTCACAAGATTTGAATCAATGATTTTATAATTTGAGATAATAATAATAATGAAATGCCTTTATTTCAGATAAGGCGCAGTTCAGATCTTCCACTTAATCTGAAATGGCAACAAACGCAACGAAACAAATTGAATAAGAATGTTTAGTGAATCTTTGGAAATTTGTGGGTCGTTTAAAGTGCACCTACATGTAAGAATAGCCGAATAGATATATCGGCGGATTTCCAAACAAAATATCAGATGTCTACTTGATGTCCCTGGAAAACAGAGTATGAGCAAGGGTGTTCCATGGGTTTCCGAATATGTCTGATTGATTTACACGCTAAATTTGTTTGTTGTGCAAAACTTTATCTCCTCTCGCAACTGGTACAGCCTAAGGATATTATTCAGCACCCTTGCAGTGTATGCAACTTCACAGGGTAGCCTGGAAAGATACAGCTGAAGGATATAACCGGAAATTACGAAGACTTTTGGACTACCTGCTCCAGTGGATCACAAAATCAAAGGATTTGCTTACCTGGTGATTTAGTTACCTATGTAGTGACTTTTAAGTATGCAATTTGGTCACATTTTCGACATGTGCGGGTATTGTTACGATTGCCACTACGAAAACGAGAACCGTTGTTAATCAATTCCAAAATTGGTTAACATTCTGTTGCAATCGCCCAAGTGAGTAATAGAAATGCGCGCCGTGTTATTGTTACGCTTTTGATAAAATCCATATCTTACTGGTTGGCAACACAATCTCCGTATAAAAATAAGTCCCTTCTAGTCCAGATAACACCTATTTTAAAGCACCACCTATTGGATATATTAATAATGATTGACAAAGATTTAAACAGAAGTTATCTTTAATTTTGTCATCTTTGATGGGCATCGCATATGAAATTATGAATAACACCACACCCTATTATTCACCGAAAAGATGTCAGATGCCCCTCTCTCAAGCCCGTGCGAATGTCTGATGTTAAAAGAGCGTATTACGTGTATGTAAAATTGAACTGGAAGATGCCATCAAATCAATAAGTAGATTCTTCGTACACGGGAAAACATTCTAGACGGTTTTACCAATAGAGAGAAACGATTCGAAGGAATTTAATTTGTAGTAGAGGCTGTACCTGAGTTTAACCTGACTTACACCAAAGTACAGTTTATACAAAAGCTACAAACGATAAAATGCACACACCTGGCATTCTAAAATTAAATATGTCCCACTTGGAAACGATTTTAAACCATCATTTTACCTGAACTTAGACAAATTTGAAATCGCCAAATCGCATTCACAAAAATTTTGACAGCTACCTCGACGTGGAATTGATTTAATCACATGGTTTTATTAGAACTTAATGACGGTAAATGTCCCATTAGCGAGAACCTACTTTTCGATATCGCAATTACATTGTCCACTTTTAATTGCAGTATGAAATAGATCGAGATTCTAAGTAACCTAAAAATCTGCCTACTTACTTAACAATTAAGTAAATCGGCGAATGACCTAAACAGACATTAACCACTCGAAAATTCGCCATTGGTGGCACGTAAAATTTCAAAACTAAGATAAATGATCTCGTTTATGATCAATCAAATCACGATGGCTACACAATAGCAGTAAAATTCGTAATAGAAATGCCGTCTGCTTACAGCTGAAATGTCGAGAGGATCCCGACAGAAAACTACGATTAAACTTACCTAATCCTGGGGCACGTTAATCCGTACGGGTTTCCTCGAAGAAATCGGCGTTTCCACTTTTTAAAACACAAATAAACTTAAAAACATAATTAGGCTTAAATTAAAGAATCACAAGAGAAAAACTTGCGAGAAAGATGGCGACCGCCTGCCAGTTACCGATAAATTATTTTCTTTCACGGTCATTTTTAAGTATTTGTTAGTCAACAAAACGCACTTTTCACTTTGGGGATCACTAGATAGCGATAGAATCTGTCAAGTAAACCGAAATAAAATTGGAAACAATTTACGATAATAATAAAAATAGAATAAAATACGTCAACAATTACTACCAAAAATCACAGATTGATCTACTTTATAATGTTTTGCCGTTTTGCATAGAAGAGCAAGGATGTAAGCAAGCACCACGGACGTATAGGTGACAGGCCTGTCGGGAAATTGGCGTTGAGCGGTGGGAAAATAAACAAGCTATTATACCGGCTTAAAAGGGCGCGAAACCGCCCTCTATTCATTCATTTATAGATAACGACCATATTTTTTTATTACTACTTTTATTAATGTCATTTTTAGCGCGTTCTCAATTGCCGTGTAAACTTTCGACGACGTTTTTGCGCGACATTACTTACTAAAAAATTTCCTTTCGACACCTGCGGTAAAATTGTTTATTCCCTCTAAAAAAATAAAGGGGGTGGAAAATTATTGGGGGCCGTTCACTTTTACGATCAAATAAATTTATTTGCCACCTTAATGTCAAAATGTATGTTTCACGATACGTCGGCGGCTTTCTTTTTCGAAAATCAGATTACGCTGCGTAAATTAGTTTTCCACGCAACAAAAATGTAAGCGCAGCCTCCATGATCATAATTACCTACAATTTTCGGCTTAATATGATTTTGCCCCATGTCGATATAGGAATTCACGTATGCACGTAGGTAAGATCGCCGCGCGGCTTTTTATTCAACAACAAATACCCCCATGCAGGGCCGCATTTCGCTTTATGCCGGTTATAGGCCACCGTAAAATCCATCACTCTTCATGTATAGTTACCGCGATAATATGAGAAGAGGACACACTCTAAGCGGAAGGATGTCGTATGAATTCTCCCTTGAACCATTGACCCCCATCGGTAATTACCAAGGGCCATTTTTTTCATCTCGAACTTTAAATTTAAAGAAATTGTGGTTTTAAACTTTGAAAATGTTTCCCAAAATCCATTTGTATACTTTCATACAGCGCCGTATTTCGCTTCATGCCGCTCTTAGCCCGACGTAAAATCTGCCACCGATGCAATCCGCGTTAAAGTAAAAAGGGGGCGCCCTCTAGGCGAAAGGATGCTGCATGAATTCTCTCTTTGAACCATGTCCCCATCGGTATTTACGAAGAGCATCATAAATTTAAAGAAATTTGATTTTACACTTTTACGAAAATATTTCCCAAAATCTATTCGTTTAACCTGTGTACGACATCTAGTCTCATGCAGGGCCGTATTTCGCTTTCTTTCGCTTTTATGTCGACGTAAAATCTGCCACCCTTCAGCATTCCGCGTTAATGTGAGGAGGGGCACCCTCTAGGCGGGACGATGTTGTATGAATTTTCCCTTGAGCAATTATATTTAGAAAGGGCAATTTTTTTCATTCTCAGAAATTTAAAGAAAATCTGACTACAAACTCAAAAAACATTTCCCCCAATCCATAGCCTGCGTATGACACCTTCTGTAATGCAAAGCCATTTTTCGCTTCATGGTAAAATCTGCCACCCGTTAGTAAGTGGGAGAATGTTGCATGAACTCTCCCTAGAGCAATTGACCCCAACGGTATTTACGAATGGCAATTTTTTTCATTTGTGACTTTAAACTCAAAAGTTTCATGAAATTTCGACTTTCAATATTTTCCAAAATCCATTCGTTAAAGCGCGTATCGCATCTATAACTCTCATGCAGGGTCGTATTTCACTTAAAACCGCTCTTACGCCGACGTAAGATCTGCCACTCTTCATCATCCACCGTTAATATGAGAAAGGGGCACCTTTCAGGCGTGCGGCGGAAGGATGTTGCAGGAATCTTGAACAATGCTCTTATCGGTATTTAGGAAGGGAAATTTCTTTCATTTCTGACTTTAAACTAAAACATTAACGAAATTCCAATTTTAAACTTGGGAAAATATTTCCCAAAATCCATTCGTTGGCCTGCGGATCGCACGGCAGTATTTCGCTTCATGCCGCTCTTCTACCGACGTATGTAAAATCTGCCACCCTACAGCACCCCGCGTGAATGTGAGGAGAGGCACCCTCTAGGCAGGAGGATGTTGCATCCCTTGTTGACCCCATCGGTATACTTGCGTTTATAGTGGAAGTTGAAGCCAATTTTTAGCGCATTTTCCAACAAACATTTAAGGAGATATTTTTTTAAATAGAGACACAGCCGTTTTTTGTAAAGGCAAACACATCGCACATAGTGTAAAAATCACATATGCGCCAACTTTTCTATTTACGAAGATATTTTTTTGCCATTTTAACCAGATGCATCTAGTAAAGACAATCATATCGCATATTGTAAAAATCAAATATGCCCATGCGCAAAGTCCACTTTTTTATATAACAGAGATATTTTTTGAAATTTTAACCAAAGATTCTTTTAGTAAAGGCAAATATATCGCACACTTGAACATCAGGTGTGCGCATGCGCAGACTACTCAAAGCTAGATTTCCTATTTATAACAATATATATGCTTTAACTTTATTTTTCTTTGTACACATAAATAGTCCCTTTTATGACCTTTCGGGAAGGACCGATCAATTCATATAAATTGCGCTTAAGGCGAAAACCTTTTTTGTTTAATTTTTTCATTTCAGACTTTAAAATCGAAGAGTGCCACAGAACCTTTTTCCAGGGGTCTGTAGGAAAAACGTACTGCTGGCCATGTAATTTTACCTTTTTCCTGAATATAAATGTCTCTTTGTTTCACAGTGATTGAAGAACTATGACGGACCTATCGAATGACACGGAGTAGCAACATTTCATTAACCGTATTCGATTCGAGGTAAGGCAATGGAAGCTGGCGCACAATTCACTGGATTGCTGAGAGACTCGCCGACGTGGTGTTAGGCGGGTTACGGGAAACTGGAAGACCGACCTGAGAAACCGTCGCAAGGTAGCAAGGATATCATCATGACCAGCACTGGCAAAAGACGTCGGAGGAATGCAGATGCTGCGGCGGACATTTTTGCAGAAGAGAGAAAATGTTTTTCCACGTGAAACTGTGAGAGGATATCGTAAAATAACAGCATTAAAACACTTTCCCGCCGTGATTCCTAATTCCATGAAAACGCGTCAAATATTGGGAACCGCATCTGATCTGGTTATGTAATTACAGGGGCTGTGGAATAAACGGATTATTTGTGTGCTTTACGGCAAAGAGAATAATGTGGGCCATGAAAGAACAAGAGCAGCCATCGCCGGAATGGTGATTATTTCAGGGATGCAGTTTTACAGTAGCAGTTTTCCCTTTTTTGTGAGACCTTGGTATTGATCCAGAAGACGACTGTTTCCTCCATGACAAAGCGTAAGGCGGAAACCAGACTTTTAATCCGGTAGATAGATGGGTAGACGATCAAAACCGTCACACAAGGAGATTTTTTTTTCTTTCAAAAACTTGCCCCTATAAAGTGTCTATCCAACTAGTGTTTCTGTTTTACTTTTTAGCACCCCCACGTTAGTAAGGGAGGAAAAAAGTGACCCCCCCCCGTTTTGACGGAAACACGTTTTGAAGCACCAGAATCCGAATTAAAAAAATCTCGATTATGTCGAACAATCTGTCGGTCTGTCTCTCGCTGTACTCTCATTTCCGGCTAAACGCCTGAACCAATTGGAGTCAAATTTGATACACATATTCTTAGACATAAAAGGGTAGAATCGCGCATACGCAAGTGTGCGGGTGGTATCTGTGCTAGTCACACCCAGTTAATTTCGAATTTAATTAAATTCCCCTGCAATCAAT